TGAAAGTTAACCTCATTGAGACTCGAACTTGCAACCTTCCGGCTTCTAGCATAGTGCCTCAACCAACTACACTACCGCATGCCTCATTCGAAATAATAAAAGATTATTATTATCTATGATCTGTACACACCAAAAGGTAGGTTTTCCATTCCTCAACTCGATCAATAATGGAGATTTGTTCACATGTCCTTTAATTCTCTGTAATAGTCACTCTCCTTCTCAGGATATAGAAACCTGGTACAAAACAAAATTGTGAGCAAATACGCAGTTTTATTTACATACAACTTGCATACTATTTTGAAGAAACTTTTATAAGTTTGTTTTATATCCAAGTCCATTGGCGACTGAAAATATCTAAGCTGGCGTAGACGTTTCACTTTTTTCCCTTTTTAGGCGCAACTTCAATCAAACATCTCCCAAAACAGAATGCCTCTCAGTTATAACCAATGGCCTGGAATAAAATTAAGAGTTAATAATATGTCTTATGTCGGTCATTTGTGAATTTGCGCTCGATATTCATTTGTTGCAGAACATATCTACTCTTTCGAAGCCGTCGCACTGTTTACAGACACTATATTTCTATATATATATTACTTTTTTAAATTGAAAAAGAATTTGAAATAAAAATAGCCTACCTTAATGACATCTGCATTTCGTAAGATGTATCATATGGAGATATTGGGTTTTCGGACTTTATCCATCGTCCTGGTTTTTAAGATAACTAAGAAAAACACGACGTTTCGGAAACTGGATCTGTTTCCGTCCTCAGGTGAGGGAAAAACACCTATTCTGTTGGGTCCCTTAGAAAGAGCTAGCCTCAATCACTGGACAACCAATGTCACAAAACACAAAGGTTATAAACACCTGAGACCAGGCTAAGTCCATGAGAGCTAATAAGAAAAATATACATAACAAATTGTACCAAACACATACAAGCGTGGAACCAGGATAGATAGAGCCGTAGACCTTTGTGTTTTGTGACATCGGTTGTCCAATGATTGAGGCTAGCTCTTTCTAAGGGACTTAAGAGAATAGGTGTTTTCCCTCATCTGAGGACGGAAAGAGATCCAGTTTCCGAAACGTCGTGCTTTTCTTAGTTATCTTAAAAACTAGGACGATGGATAAAGTCCGAAACCCCAATATCTCTGTGTGTTATATACCATCGTCAGAATCCTATAGTAACTACATGTACCATATGTTTACAGTTCTCAAGAGCCTGATGAACTCGACTACAGGTTCAAGTACGGATTATACGATGTATTTGACCCATACAAATCAATGAAAATTTCGCTTGACTGTTGTTATAGAAAGCCAAAACCAGTTTTCACCGAAATCCGAAAACTTTCAGAAATGAAACATGCGCCAGGTAGACAGACGGATGGACATGACCCGACAGTCATGCGCTCCCTTCCTGAAATACTCGTATATGGGAAAAGTTGATATGATGAAGTCGCTATAGAGTAAGGACAGAGAACTCCTGTATCTAATCACCATGGAAGCGAATGTGTTGGGTGAAGATAAAGTTCCATATATTCTTGATATAGGCAGTAGTTGCAGGTTTTGTCTTTACACTCAGAGAATGGACCACCAGCAACCAGCGGCTAGGAAACAGGGCAGGACTCAGTGCAGATGTGGTGCCGAGGAAAATATCCGGCGTAGAATCGAATCCAGGCAATTCACTTCACTGAAATTTACATCAGGATGATAACACACCGAAGAATTTTGTGACTTATTTGTGGCTCAGTATAATACTTCGTCAGGGGTATGCGGTGGCATAGTTGGTTCAAGCACTATGCCACAAAAGGGAAGGTCGCGGGTTCGAATCCCGATGTCATTGGATTTTTAAATTGACCTAATCCTTCTAGCCGCACTATGGCCCTGGAGTCGACTCAGCCTCTAACAGAATTAGTATCAAAAATCTTCCTGGGGGTAAAGGACGGCCGGCGCGTAAGGCTGACAAACTCACCTCCATCTGTGAGCCGATTATCTAGAAAATGTGGAAGCTTCGACGCCTCACAACTCTATGGGTGTTCACGGCCTGTTACAGGGATAGCTTCACTCTTTTTTATAATATACTTAGTCATACAAAGGATATGTAGCCGAAAACAGAAAAGATAAATGTATACGTGCATGCCTGCAACCTTTAGCCGATGGGAGTCTCTTGTAAAGTATTCAATTTGGGATACCGAAGAAATGGAAATGTAATACCATGAATGTTCGAGAAATAGGATGTGTGGATGTGAATTATTTAATTGCTTATATTACGGCCGTTGACACAACAAGTAATATGGGAATATCTTCAATAAAGACAATAGGTGTTGGTATACGTATATCTTACATGTTTAAAGTATAAACGTAATTGTGCTACATGTTTCGACCATATAATTAAGTCGTCATCAGTAACTTATGAACATAACTCAGGTGACTAAAATATAGTTTATAATAGAGATCCGTATCCTTGGAACTGATGGCTGAGTTGTTAACGAATATATATTTATATATTAGGCATATATCTATGATTTAGTACACAACTCGTTATTACGATTATGATTAAAACATAAAGATAAAGATAAAATAAAAATATTAAAAATATAAGTGACATAAAAATTAATTGTATGTTGTATTTAAAACTCAGGTTTGATGCTATTATGGTTCATGTGCAATCGTCAACTGACGTGTGTTGGTATGATGAAAGGTGTTATTTCTCGCTTGTTGTCGTGCTTTGAAATATCAATCAGCAGAAAGGATGAAGAAAGCAGTCTTCTTGGATTTGGCTCCGTGTATATGTGGTGTTAATCGACGTTTCGGAGGAATGTTTCGCCTCCATCTTCAGGGTAGAAGGAAAAATATAAGAAATCCGCAAGCGAAGAGACCGTGAGAACCAGTAAAAGCAGACTCTGCTTTTGCTGGTTCTCACGGTCTCTTCGCTTGCGGATTTCTTATATTTTTCCTTCTACCCTGAAGATGGAGGCGAAACATTCCTCCGAAACGTCGGTTAACACCACATATACACGGTGCCAAATCCCAGAAGACTGCTTTCTTCATAGTCACCGCCGTGAAAGCCTCAAATCTTATAAACAGAAAGGATATTCTATTACAGAGATTCGAAACTAAACTAAGTTATTGAGAAGGGAGTTTGTGGCCAAAACTTGTATTTGTTGCTATATTCTGTTATAAAACTATTTTTTTCTAATATCCCAGATATGTTGGGAGAAATTTTGTAGCAGAACATTCTGCTTGGATTATATAACGATGCACTTATTTATGGACAGCTGCTTTCCAAAAAGTACGTCTATAGTTATTGTACGAGGTCTTTAACATAGATTTTGTATTGTGTGTAAAGTCTGGTCACTGTCGCTGTTTGAAAGACTGTGTGAGTTTTGTAGCCTACGTTCCCGAAGCAGGCTTATGCGATCTTCCTGTTTGTGTGTCTGTGTATCCACCCTAACAGCTTTTCAATGCTTGAACCAATCTTCATGAAACTTGGTATATATATACATATATATACCTGAACCCATCTCAACGGCGTACTTCATAAATCCCTCCCATCAGTCTGTGTGTCTGTATGTGTATCCCCATACTGTTGCTAGGAAACGGCCAGGCAAAACGTTACCGCTGCAACGAACACACACGCAACAATAAGATAATTGTTGTACGCGTCGTTTGCTATGCGTTTCGCTTCGTGTCAAAGGTAAGTTTGGCGATTAGTTCTTCCCAGAACTTCTTGTTTATAAATAGAATTCCGATCGCTTCAGGTTACGAGTACATGTAACCGACATTCCACGTTCACGTACAAAGACAGCAGGAGATAGCGAATATATAATTTTAGTAAGTTTCGATTGTCTTTATTTCGTCACAGTTCAGCAGTGTCTGTCACTTTTTTTCTCTTGGGGCGAGACTGAGTCCACTTCGTACTGCAACCACTGTTTGGCCTATTGTGCCAGCTCCAGATGACAGATGATGGTGATTGTGAAGCAATCGGTGGAATGAGAACTGGCAGGGGAAACCGAAGTACTCGAAGAAAACATGTCCCAGTTCCACTTTGTCCACCATAAATCCCACATGACCTCATCCGGTCTCGAACCCGGGCCGCAGCGGTAGGAAAAAAACGAATAACTAACAGATGACTTTGGTCTCTGACGCTACTTTTAACAATTTAAATGTCTCTCTATGCAATAATATAGCTATTGTGCTGCGCGAGATTACGGTAAGACACTGCGCCGACAGAGCCATATACGTACTAATTCTGCCGGTAGGCGGATATGCCAAAAGCGTCTCTGCCGTCAGCTGTCATGTGCATGAAAAAATTTACTGTATTTAGAAAAGTTTCTGGAAGCACGTAAGTTGTATTTTTCTGTGTCTGATATTATGGCTAGATTGGGGTTAAGCGAAGCGGAGCCGCTAGTATTTACATATTGCTGTTACTCACTGATCTACAACGCTCCCCCAACATCGCCCTTCTGTAAACGCGAAATTTTTCGACAGATATTGGCGGTGGGTGGCTGCACGCTATTTCATAAGTCTATTCGTTTGTATTTAAGGGAAGAACTGACGCCAGCTGCCATAAATTACATTTAAAGATATATCGCGTTTCAGTTACACCAGGTGTCTTAAGGAAGAAAGATTTATCATTGCCCAAAATGGATCTCCTTGTTCAGTCCGACCTGTCTACATCTTCCATCTCTTTGTGTCTGGCCTTGTTTGTCTGGACACTGTCTCGTCCTTCTCCCGAGCATTCGACCGACCGACCGATCGACCGCCTTCCTTCCTTCGTAGTCGCCGTCGCGCCTCATGAGCAAGCAATAGGTGTGAGAGGAACCACTACTCCCGCCTCTCATCTCTAAGCTACAGGGAGAGGGGGTCCGCCCGCCCCGTGACCCCGCACAGGGGAGGGCGGGGAGTACCATCAACATCCCCCCAGCTTTGAAGGCAGGCTGGTAGACAAGGGTATAAATTGGTTGCACCACTCACAAGTACCGGTATTGGAACATTATATCGCAACTTTCAACTACTGCTGTTCTATTGGGAAGAGACCGACTTACAGACGAGAATTTCTTATCTAAGGGGGGTCCGCTATTTGTGCAAGTTGGTATTTTGAAGACAAAGTAAGTGTACCACAGAATATTTTAATTTCAAAATTGGAAATAAGAGTCATTTAGAACATATATACTGTAGTAAAGTTAGCACGAATCTGTTTTCTAAATTAGCAACACAACTAATGAATTTCGCGTTTGTAATCAAGAAACCCGTTGGTATCCATCCGCGGCGCTTCCACATATGTCGGATTAACTTCAGCGTTTCTTTCATTTCTTCAGTTTCATGTAGTTATGAAGGCGATACTAGCGAACGGAAAAAAGACATCTGAGTTGAGCACAAGCACTTATAAATACAGCACTTATATTTAAAAATTTTCCTAGGATGGCGGAGGATTTCGCTGACTGTGAGTCATTTGCTATTTCTAAACTAACGAATATGATAAAAACATAATTCTAAAATGTATGCGCCGCTTGGATTGGCAGTTCACGTGTTGTACATTTCAAGACGCTACTTTAAATTTACGGACCTATCCAGAAAAACAAAGAAAGTGGTGAGTGTTTCTCCACTCAATATGAGAACGTAGTCAGGAAGTGGGCTCATCTTTCACCATCCGCTAACCTCTTACAAGTTCCTCTCCATCTCAAGAGGGAGATGCTTCTATGCAGGCCTATGAGTTGAGTACCAAGTAAAACTGCTTGATATACACGTATGTCGATTGCTGGAACAAAGTTGCGGTGTCAGGAACAATACGATGCGCGGAGCGAAAGCCTGCACGCACGCACACTCAACACACACACATATATACATACACAAAGTCATTTTCGACACTATCTGCCGCAAGAGGGCGGGAGACAGTGAGCATTTGGCGGCTTCAGAGAGCAGAGCGCGTGCGGGCAGGCACCGCAACTAGCGAAGTAAACCGGTGTACGTCTCTTAATGAATCATTATTTGCTTTTTTTTTTTTGCTTGTGTTCCTTTTTTAAAAGTGCTCTAGGTTGAGTTTCTGAAATATACTTAAAATTATTTAATGGCTATTATTAATTTTATATAAAGTTATTTACATAAGCGGCATTTAATATTACTTTGGGTTGGATTAATAATTATAAAACACACAAAATAATATATATTTAATATTTCTTGCAGGTTATTCGAACTACCAGGTGACGGATGTAATAATCTTATTATAAACAACACTATAATATCTTGAACTGAAACCGGGCTCTCAAACAACAGAATCGTAAAACTTGACTTCTGTGCTGATACGAATCAGTTTCGTTGGGGTACTAATTCCTTGCGTGAAATTGCTTGAGGACCGAGTGCTCCACCATTCCAAATACTACGAAAAATGTCAGCGAAACCACCTTTTTTCATTCCGAATCCAGACCTGCGATTCAAATTATTTGCCCTGTTTTTGTTAACTTCATTTACCCTATGTCCTGTCAATTCCCGTCCTTCGACATCAGCAGCCAGTCCTCATCATCGCCATGTTCACCATGAAAACACAGACATAGTGCCTCAACAGTCGGAAGATATGGGTAATGAAAACCAAGAGATAATTATTCCTGAAATAGAAGTACCCGAAGAAGATGAATTTGAAGGCGTCAACAATGAACCAGCTGATGCTGAAGATTATCCTCAGCAAGGCATGTTCGCTATACCAATGGCCGATGCTGCGGGTAACAATGGCGGTCGCAAAGGGGAAGCAAAACATCCGAAATCATATCATAACAACGGAAAGAGTGGAAGAAGAAACGGTGTGGATCACCATTCCGTAGCGAAACCCGTACAAGAGGTGAACGACACCAATGAAGAAATACCGGAGGACCTGCACCTAGAGGAGCTCAACAGGTCCCTCAGCAACGGAAACGCATCCAACATGACAGCAAGTGAGGAAAACTATATCAAGCTGTCGAAAAATAACAGAGAAAGGTAAGCTTTTTCACATGTCTTAAAATGCTTGGTATGCTAGTTATTGTCGTTAACCTAAACTTAAAGAGAGTGCCATGCCCTTGGAATTAATGCCATTCAAAATTAAAATAAAATGTAGAACTAATGGGCATGATAGTATGAAACACATCACTTTGGATCGAGGAAGATTCGTATTAACGAGATATAAAACTCAAGCCGTAGAGCTTCGATCTGTTTATAGCACATTTTAAAAGTTAAGAAAACGAAAGTAACATGCAACCGAAGTTCAAAAGTGTTCACACTTAGTTTAACCTGTTAATGAAGGAGGCAGATTCCTGGAAAACACTGGTGCCTATCTACCATATTACACGACGTCACATCTCAGAAGAGAGTAATCTTTCAAAGCGAGCACATGTTTTCTGGATATAAGCAAATGTAATTAATCCAAGTCCATCCTTCATTGATTAGCTCTCGTATATGTTATATATAAAAGTTGTCCCTGTACTTAACTCTTAAAGTACTCGTATACTATGCCATGAAGGCGTATAGGGGATTTACTCCCCCACATTTTCTTTACCTCGGCACTAGCTGGAGGTGAGTGGTCAGCTTCACACCCCGGCCGCTTTGCCCACGGGGAAAGACCTCCCGGTACCCATTGCATAGCAGGTTAGGTGGGGTCCGGAGCCGGTCTGGACGTCGAGAAGAGAAAATTCTTGATTCTGCCGGGACTCGAACTCCGACCTCTCGGTCGTCTAGCCCGTGGCCAGTCGCTATACCGACTACGCTAAGCCGGCTATATATATAACAAAATGCAAATATCTTAAACAGTAATGACATGGCACACTCTTAACAACTTAAAAATAAGTAAAGCAAATTTTTATTATTTGTGTACTTTTCATTGAACTTTTAAAGATGTGGCTTTTATATTGCACAGCTTTCAAGCAGGATAATTTTTGCACAACTATGATATTACTAAAATTATGTTCTTTATATATGGAACAGAACTTTCGCCTAAACATACGAATGAGTGAAATAATTTCTAGCTAGTTAGAAGAATATATTATTTCACTACCACAGAGCTTAGGCTTACTGAAGGTCATTATTATCAACTGAAAAACTCAACAGGCGACTGGTTACTAGCTGGACGTCCGAGATTCAATTACCAAATTATGTGAAGATTTTTCTCTTCCCACAACGTCTAGACGGGTTGTGGGGTCTAACCAGGCTCCTCTTCCAGAGTTCTTTCCCCGGGAGAGTGAAGTTCACCATTAGCCAGAGTTATGCGTGGATATTCATGTTCAGTTAACTTGCATGTCTCCATGGGGTGTTGCTCAGTCACAGAGACATGATATTTTACACGTAGAATCGGCAGTGACGATAGGATATGAAGGATTTTGCAGAAAGTAATGATAAAATATTATCATTTCCGATGAAGTTCGTAAGGTGCGAAAAGAGATAGTTTTCCATATTGGCAAGGAACGATGAACTGTCAGTGAGGTAGTAGCTACAAAGAAACGACACGATTTAAAGGCGTGTTAACAGAAAGCGAGGAAACGAATTCCGTTCCTAGTTCCGTAAGGCCGGTATGTGATCATATACTATATATTTTGGTGACAAAATTTGAGATTTACAAGCGTTCCTTAAAAGATACATCATAACTACATTGTTTGCCACTTCTTTTATTGTCTTGCATAAAATTCTGAGGTCATGTAGTGTCATATTTAATGCGGTAGACTGCTTATGAATGGATGATAACAGAAATATATAGGTAAAATAGTAATGACATAATTAAGGCGTAACATGGTAGAGCAATGTCAAAATGGTTCCTGAAAAACTGGATATGCTGCTGTGGATTAGATTAATCTGGCTCAGGTTAGGGGCCANGAGGTAGTAGCTACAAAGAAACGACACGATTTAAAGGCGTGTTAACAGAAAGCGAGGAAACGAATTCCGTTCCTAGTTCCGTAAGGCCGGTATGTGATCATATACTATATATTTTGATGACAAAATTTGAGATTTACAAGCGTTCCTTAAAAGATACATCATAACTACATTGTTTGCCACTTCTTTTAGTGTCTTGCATAAAATTCTGAGGTCATGTAGTGTCATATTTAATGCGGTAGACTGCTTATGAATGGATGATAACAGAAATATATAGGTAAAATAGTAATGACATAATTAAGGCGTAACATGGTAGAGCAATCGGGCCTCTGCAAGTTATTGAAAATATAGCCATGATATTCGTGGATTTCCTTCATCTTTCCAAGAAAATGTTGAAATAAGCTTCGAAGCTTCATTTTAAACCCTTACTTACACCACTCTGGGTCATTTTTGTCTTATTCGACGCCAAATAACAAATGCAGTTAAAAGAGCGGCGATGAATACAGGAGAAAAAAAAAATATATATATATATATACACACACAGCGCGGCTAGAACAGTTAATGTGACTCTCTAGCTTGAATTAGCAGATGACTGTGTCTCAATATTCCCTGGAATATTTTCATTTTCAATGTAAAAGTTATAGCATTAGACTGTTGGGTTTACTAATGAGAATTCATAAATGAAAATAAATCTTCTGTAAATATTTTCATACGGATTACAGAACTGCAGAGTTGAAAAATTCAACGGCTTGGCGAAGATGAAGGCCCATCCATGGTTCCGCCAAAAAATATTTAGTACTGATTAAACAAACCCAAGTCTTCATGTGGTACTACATTTACGTTTGGAAGCGTGTCACATTAATATTTACGGTTTGCTGATAATTTTATTTTATTTTAAGAATAATTCTATTCGACAGACATAAAATCATCTTTTATTTATCACTTGCCAGTTTCTCGTGAGGTAGAACACAACATAAGATCCTATAAGGCCCTACATAAGGCTATAAAAATTGTAAAGCCCATTCAAGATTTTCTTCTAAAAGATGTGAAGTACCTCAATGATTTCCGGTCCAGATTCGGACCAACTAACTACTGAAGTCGGCCGCTTTACTGTCTGCAATATACTCGTGCAGCGGTTACTGAAATAGTAACAAGCCGAGGTCCAACAGCTCTGCGGCTTCTGACGGATGGGAATCCTATTTTAACTCATCTGACCATATGGGTTTACATATATATTGTGTAAAGCAGTGTTCCTCTCCAACCAGGGCACCACTGACCATAAAAGGTGCAACAGCCCTATAAAGCAGAGACAGTAAATTATTATTTGTCATAGGCCCAATTGAGATATTTCGAAATGACCACTGGCCAGAGAGTCTGACGAAAAAGAAAAGAACGTCCGCAGTTCTGAAATTGTTAATAACTAATAATTACTATTCCCATTGACCGAACATACTTTACGGGTGTTACCCGATCGTACAAGACACCTTATTCGCAATTAAATTCTGATTTTATTCTTCCACGTCTTCACGTTGATCGTGTCATTGGGTATCTTCGTTTTGCATAAGTGGGCAACGCTTCGGAGGCAAATGTTGCCTCCATCTTCAGGGTAGAAGTGTGTATGTTCATGTACACATTGGTTTTCATCCAACAGAACCACGACAAACGGTGGGGGCTGTTCATATTGGCCAACACCGGGCACCAACCGCAATCCTCCCCCCCATGGGTCTCTTTCACCAAAGCTATATATACATGAATAGTCACGCCCCCTAGTCGCTTATTCGGAAGTCGGCAGTACTTCCCACTTCCGTAACGTCCAAGCTTCCAAGATCACGATTAACATAAACATTTAATATGGACACAATACCCTAGAGTCTCGTTTGTAGCCACAATGTCTTAAGGCAATCATTAATCCGAAAGTGAACCAAATTTCTTTTCGGCATCACGTCCTTAGTGGCTATGGCAGCGGCCCTTTATTTAGTCAGCCGTAGAGCGAAGCTGATCACCCGCCGGTATCTAGTGCAGTGATCTTTAAAATGTGAACGTTTACTTCCACGTCCCCTATTCGTCTTCATGGCCTGATGTAAAGACACAGACGGAACTATACCTCTGCATTTACAAGTTTTCACACAGAAGTTTTATTAATGACGTGGGCACTTACGTCACTAAAGCCGGATCAAGCCCGCAGGCTGTAGTTTACCCCCCTTGACCTCGGCACTGGATGAAAGTGAGTGGTCACCTTAACTCCCTGGCTGCTTTATCCCTAGGGCGAAAAGACCCCCGGTGGAGGCTGGCCCAGGAGCCGATCTGAACGCTGTGATGAGAAAAAGTTTCTTGCCCTGCCGGGATTCGAACACCGGCCGTCAAGCTCTTATCTCGTCGCTACACCGACTAAGCTATCCCGGCTCCTCTGAAAACAAAGTAATGAGGTAGTTAGATTTTTTAAGTTTCGTGTTGTGGGGTGAGACTGAGTCCACTTGATACGTCGGCCACTAATTGGCCAATTGTACCAGCCCCGGATGACAGATGAGTATGGAGCATTTGGTGGAATGATAATTGGCAGGAGACACCAAAGTACTCAGAGAAAACCTGCCCCAGTACCACTCTGTCTACCACAAATCCACGTGACTTGACCTGGGGTCGAACCCGGGCCATCGCTGTGGGAAGCCCGCCACTAACCGTCTGAGCTGTGGCACGGCCATAAGTACTGAAGTAAATATGTATTTAACAGAGATAAATCAGTGCCAAAGTAGGAACTGGAGAAAACTAAATATATACTTCGTAATTTATGTAGTTCTAATATTGTGGAAGTGGACGAATGGAACATTATGATAAGCGGAACATGTTTCCTGAATTAGGGAGGCGAGAAATGAGCATACCTGTAACATTTTGATGTGAGGGTAAACGTTGTATAAGACCATGAAGCAAATTGGTGATAATACGAAAAACAATTTTGAAGAAAGAGGCTGCTGGACTGTAAACTCGATTTATTTTTTTATTGCTAGTAGAGTGGGACTAAGTCCCTTGTACTGCGGCCACTTCTGGCCTATTCTACCTGCCCCAGATGATAAGTGAGGGTCATTATGGAGCAATTGGTGGAATGAAGATTGGTAAGGGAAACCGAAGTACTCGGAGAAAACCTG